TTGGATTAAGGCTTTCCTTGAGCCGGACCGGGCCGCCATGGCCACTTTCGTTCGCCATTGTCGCGCACTCGTGAACATAATTTCCCGCGATGTGGCCGACCGGCCGAGACGCGCGCGCGGGGAGCTCGCGATAAAACGAGCGCGTCGGATTAACAAGTTTGACGCGGCTGCGAGTTTCGACAAATTCGCCGACGAGAGCGAGTCGGTACAAATAAAAAGAGAAAAAAGAAGAGGCGCGCGCCGGCCTTTTATTATTGCGCGATGGAACGCGTGTAGAATGTGAATTCTTGCGAATTAACTAGCGTGAGCTGAGATGCTGTTTTACTTCGAAAATACCTCGCGAGGCAGCTGGATTCTATCGCTTCGTTGGACTGAAGAAGTCCCGAAGTATGGCTGCGTTCGGCTGAACAAAGTGAACAGTGAGCGCTTAGTGATTATTGTCTGTGACTGGAGCATTCTTTTGGATTTTTCATAGACCCACAAGTATTTACCAATCAGGAGCGAGAATCGCTAAGCGCTCACTGATCATTCTGCGTCTTCTGAACGCAGCTTTTTGTTCACGCTCACGCACGCGACACACACAATTCAATTCTCACTTTGTCACTCGTCTCAACGGTACGTTGTTCGACGGAGAATGTACGTAACGGGAAGTAACGGGACGTAACGGGAAGAAGACGGAATCTTCGTCCGCGAAGTGCACGCGTCGCGTGACGCGTGATCATGCGAGAAAAACGACGGCAAACTGCAGCAAACATTGACTCGAGCTTGACCTTCTGATCAAATTCGCTGTCAGATTCAGGCAAATAAGCTCGCCCGAATGGGCCAAACTGACCCATCACGCGGTCTCCACCTCCTCTTCTCCCTTCAACCCTCCGCGCTCGCTCTCTCTCTCTCTCTCTCTCTCTCTCTCTCTCTCTCTCTCTCTCTCTCTCTCTCTCTCTCTCTCTCTCTCTCTCTCTCTCTCTCTCTTAGTTCCGCCGTTCCTCCTTTGTTCACTCATTCATCCGCGCTTCCTCATTCCGTCTGTTTTCGGATCTAGAAACCGCACGTTTCCGATAACTTCTCCAATAATTGAGAATGCTTCAGCGTGTTCTACCGTAGTTCTATCTCACTCGTTCTCGCTCCCGCCCTCCTTCTCTCTCTCTCTCTCTCTCTCTCTCTCTCTTCTGTCGGGACACGTTACCGGGAACTTGCAGATCACGTGTGAATCGATTTCTCTTTCGCAGAAAAGCCTTCCGGCGCAGCTGGCCGTTCCATCAGCGGCCGATATCGTTTGTCCGTTTGGCGGACGTATCGCCGTTGTTGCGCGACGGTTGTCGCTGTTGTGTCGCCGGTCAGTGTTGCATTATAATGCGAGCCAATTACACATGTGTGCAAAATCGATCTCATGCTCATCGTGTCATGCTCGCTTCATATTTTATCGCGCGATGCTCGTTGAATATCCCGATCCCTTTTAGAAGCGTCACGAGTTAAACGTCTGAATTTTGAAATAACGGTCGGAATATCTGGGGAGGGAATCTCTGCCAAATTCCATCGGATATGACGGCGCGACGATCGCTAAGACGTCCCGGCGAGAGAGAGAGAGAGAGAGAGAGAGAGAGAGACACGCGAGTGAAAGCAATTTGTTGCAATTGAACGAACCATCGCCGACAAACACGAGGGATTTGCAACTCGCGCGCGCGCGAAACGTTCTTTCGCGCGGGGACGTTTCAACGCGCCTCATTTTTCTCGTGGCGCAAGTCGAGGAAATAATTCGTACAAAACGAAAGCTCCGTTCGCTCCGTCCGCCGATTTCACCCTCCGACTTTTTCTCTCCTGCTCCTCTCCCGAGGGGGTTAGAATGACGCACGACACTCTTTGATTTCTCTCGCCCTCCCCTCCCCCCCCCACACACGTTTCACATTCGGCATGTCTCCTCTCGCCCTGCCGTTTTCCCTCTCGCTATCTCGCACCGGGCGATAACCGGGGCTGCCTTTCACGTAATGACGAGCCAGTAAAACAATCATTAATCTGATCCGCTCCTTCCTCCCTCTCTCTCTCTCTCTCTCTCTCTCTCTCTTTCTTTCTTTCTCTCTCGCTTTCACACTTGTCCCTTCCGTTCGCTTTGCGAGCGCGCAGGGACGAACATTAATTATCGGAAAAAGGTACGGCAAAAACGTTGAGCCCCGCGTGAGCCCACATCTCACCGGCGCAGCGGCGGCGGCGGCGGCGTCGGAGGCGAGCTCGAAAGTCCGACACGAAGCCGGGAAAAAGCCGCTTTTCCAACAGTCATTCGGAATCCTCTCCCCATCACACACGCGCTCAGCTATCGCTCCGATCGATCGTAACGGTAATCTTGAGCTATGTAGCATACGCACGTGCACACACACACACACACACATATATATATACACATATACACCGTCGGTGTACAAATACGCCGCGTGTACGATCGTTTCATCGATGGTCGTTCTATTAATTTTAATTTCGGCGAGTGAGAGATCCCCGACGAGAATGTGAGCGCGGCGGCGCGGGCGGCGCCGTCGTTACATCGGAATTCTTCGGGTCGTTTGCTCGCAAACTCGCAAGCTCGCGCTCGTTCGCGCTTGCGAAAATATTTAATTCATTTTGCGCGCACAATGGGATGCGTATACAAGGGATATCGAATTCCAGCGACGCGGAGAAGATCTATTTTTAAGCGAGCGCGAGCGAGCGAAACCGCGTTTTCCTCGCATTCCCGAGCAGCCGGCAGCTCCCCTCGCGCGCGTTCCGCTCGCAGTCCGCGAGAGAGCGGGGAGATGCATCGCGATCGACGCTCGTTTTTTACGGATATCTTAGACTCGATAACGGAAAACCTTGTTACACTCTCAACGTCCGACCGTATATCTAGTCGCCGTCTCTCCGCTCCACACAACTCAGACGTGTCACCGCGAGGGGCTAACGACAATTCCCGTATTCTTCGGCCGTTCGACAATGCGCCCTCCGCACTTATTCAAGCTTTTCTGATCGATTTTCACCGGGATCGCACAAAAGCCGCCTCGTAAATTCCCCCCGGTCTGTCGGGGCAAACGAGCGAGCGACCAGCGCGCGCGCGCGGTGCAACGCGAGTTTTCGACGAGCTTCGTTTTGTAATTCCAATCGCCGTACGTGCGAATTAATTACGTCACTAGTAATTTTTGACGAATATAAAACGAGTGATTCGCGAAATACACTGGCGTTACCGTTGCGACGCGTTATTACATCGACCGAGCACTCCGCGCGCGCGCGAAATTCTCCATGCGTCACTTAAACGAATAATTTAAATAACTTTGACTGCGCGGGTTCGTGCAATTGCCAACGTAATTAAATATTTCGCGCGACCATTGTCAATTTTGCGTAAAAATGTATTTGAGAATCTTGCGCGTTGCAGTGAAACTGCATCACTATCGGCTTTCTGCTATCGTACGTACGATAAACTTATCGTATCATCGGCCGGCTACGAGAAAGTTATTTGCAACGCAAGTAGATTGGTTCGAGTCCTTCCCGATTGCACATTTCACCGTGTGAAGAGATGACATTCCTTCGCGTACGCACTTTGGCGTATCTTCCCCCGAGTCCTACGTTCCTATATTTAAACACATGGCCACATGAACTCATTACCATTCTTTTCTCGTCGCGCTGATTTTTTATTTATTTTTTATCTCGCGACCGTTGTTTGCTCCTCGGACTATCGAGCTGTCGCGTCATCGCGGATCTTGCGCGGATTTTGATCTTCAAACGTCAAGAGGAAATTCAATGTTAATCAATCATGACGTTCACGGAGCGTGATACTGCGCAGTGCGCGCGCTTGGACATGACCCGCATCGCATCGCCGATGAGAGAAGTAACTAATGGTAGCGCACGCTTGAGCATCTAAAGTAACTTATCTATCCGCTACTTTGGCTCGGATGATCGTAAAGCGAAGCCAGCTGCGATTCCGAGACCCGGGAAATTCGCGAATTTTCCCGCTCGCGATTATTGGCGCGGCGCCTCGCTCGGCGTTGTCGATCGCGCGCTCGCACCTCGTAGCCGGCGCAGCGCGGCGCCAAAGGTGCCCCAGAGAGAGAGAGAGAGAGAGAGAGAGAGAGAGAGAGAGAGAGAGAGAGAGAGAGAGAGAGAGCGAGCGAGAGAGAGCGAAAGCGAGAGAGGGGAGGAGGGGGGCTGAACGGTGCTCAACTTTTAAATTATTACTCAGTTACCGGGATTTTATTGCGCCAATAATAAAAGCGGGCGACACCGCGCCCCCGGGTGAACCACCCTCCGCCGCTGGCTCTCCCACCTCCCCTTCCGCACGACCCTCAACGTGTATGTGACGTTTTGTTATAGCCTGCGAAATATGGTCGTTACTTGCGCTACGGGTTCCGCCGTGTCGCCCACGTTGACCGACGTCTTTAATGCTCGCACGCTCCACGGGGGTGGAATGTACGCGCCAAGGCCGCGCTGCTACACACAGGATTTTGTTACACCGCGATCTTGTGTGATAAAGGGCCGTTAACGCGGCCGCCCTCCCTCCCTCCCTCTCTCCTTCCGAGCGCGCGCGCGCTTGTCTCCCGCTTTTCTTCGTTCCCTTCTTCCGCTCGTCGCGCGTTATTTTACACCGTGTAACGTCGCCGTGAATAGACGTTATAGGTCCTTTTATGCGCCGCGCAGGAAAATGAAGGAGCCATGATGCGCGGAAGGGTGATTCTGATCACGCCGACGGCTCACGAGCGGCGATCGCTCGTTTTATAGCTTGACTTGTCGGGCAGCCGACTGCGAGGGCGACCTGCCCGACGGAAACGAAGTCTCAGGTTGTCATCGGCACCGGCGAGGTACTTTTAAGGGCTCGGCGCCAGTCCCTCGCGAGGACGTTAGGCTGGGAAATTCGCCGCGCATCGCGATTCGCGTTCATTCCGCGAGCGGAACGCGGGGAACGCGTTTATTTTATAATTTGTAAATATTTTTGTGCCGTAATACGGACGTAAGGTTTTGAGTGGCGTGGAACGCGCCAAATGAATCGTGTATAAAGATCCGACATTTATTTCTCTGTCGTTGGTTCGAGTTGGTTCGCGTAACGCTCGATCAGTTTGCACGTAAAATTAATCTAGACTATGTAATACAAAGTGTAACGATGTATAAAAAGGTATTCGCATATACGTATCATATTTACGAAAATAACTTAGTATTTACGAGCACGTAATAGAGGCTATTTAATACGCCTGTATTTGGTGCGCTCAACGAAATTGCGCGATTGTCTCTCGAGACTGAAGACTTCGCGATTAAGCTTCCAGATCGGAAACGGTGAGAATAATTGTGGCCGTTAATCACGAGTCAACCTGAGGGTATACGTCTCGGCGAAAGTAGACACGTGATATCGATTGCTATTGATTTCAGTTGTCGGTACGCGGTCCAGCTGATCTCGTAAATGGCACATTGTGCCAACAGCCACAGCTGTTCATACTGCATCTTCGGCGTGTTGTGGGACTCCAATTGGACCTTGATTCGCTGAATTCGATCTCGATGCGCGACACTTACGTTCGCACGAAGCGTCACGCTCAGTTGCGACTTTTGTTGAGCACTTTTATCAAGTAGATGGTCACAATCGTGAATACGACAGTGATGCAGATGAATTTGCAGCATGCGCTGCACCCTGAAAATAAAACAGCTCGCTGTTATGTCAAAATCGAGCGAGCTTCTTCACGTGTAAATTCACACGCAAACGGGCAAAACGTTTGTCGAGCATAAAAATATCAAGATCTTTTGATCAAACGCCTCCACAACTTCTCCGTATCTCATGACGCGAAATTACTCAACGAGACGGCAAGTGTATATCGTAATCGATCAGCAACGATATATATACAGGGTGTTCCATTTTAAAGGAGCCACTCAAATATCTCAGAAACACTGCGTTAAATCGAAAAATGCTCAAGACAAAAGTTGTTTAGCTTGAAGGGGGACATAGGACAGCGACAGCGTTTTGTTTATAGATGGCGCCACTTGCGAGATATTCGTTGATTATCAATTTTCTTAAATGGAAATCCCAGTTTTTTATTATATCATCTTTTTCTACCAATTAATTTAAACAACTTTCGTCTGAAACGTTTCTTTATTTGCTTAATATATTTTGTGATATTTAAGGAAAACTTGGTAACTTTTCCAACATTTACCTTACGATAATACTATTCGTCGAAAGAAAAAATAGTATTAGACTTTATTACTTTATTTACTATCAAGAATATACTACTATAACAGTGCCCCAACTTTTATTAACTTATCGACCTTTGGAAATTTCGAAATTAAATTAATAAAAGTTAGGGCACTATTATTGTAGTATACTCTCGACACTGAATAAAGTAAAAGAGTCTAATACTATTTTTTCTTTCGACGAATAGTTAGCGAGATGTCGCAAGGTGAATGTTGGAAAAGTTACCAAGTTTTCCTTAAATATCTCAAAATATATTGAGCAAATAAAAAAATGTTTCAGACAAAAATTGTTCAAATTAATTGGTAGAAAAAGATGATATAATAAAAGACTTGGATTTCCATTTAAGAAAATTGATAATCAGTAAATATCTCGAAAAATGGAGCCATCTATGAACAAAATGCTATCGCTATCTCCTATGTCCCCCTTCAAGCTAAACAACTTTTGTCTCAAGCATTTTTCGACTTAATAACGCAGTGTTTCTGAGATATTTGAGTGGGTCCTTTAAAATGGGACACCTTGCATGTATCTTCAAAGTCGCAATAATCACAACGTAACGCTCGACATGTCCGACGTGGTCTCGCGTGAACTTACAGTCGCAACACATATCCTGGTCTCTAGTTTCCAGCCGTTCCACCCGTTCTACGCGGACGAAAGTGGGTGCGGCAGTGTGGCAATATTGCTGATTCGATACTGTCGGGACGTACGACGGGTTGTAAGCCGGCTGGCTGGGGATATTCGAATAAAAATTATTCGCCGACACGGATGACGGATGGTCGGCCATCTGCGAGCCTTGGCCGTAAGTCGTCGTCGTCGTCGTCGTCGTCGTCTGACCGTACGGGGGTGCGTACGACTTATCGTTCGGTGACGCGATTTGCGCCATCGTTTCCGTGTACGACGGCGGCGCGATTGAGCTTATCGTGTGAATATCTGGCTGATATTGCATTGTCGTTGGGTCGAACGGCCTCCGACGTATGGTTATCTGAGAATCTGCGAACAAGGTAAACGCGCGTGATTATCGTCGAGGAGAATTATTCAAACGATTGATCGAAGCGCGGCTTGAGAAAGAAGGGAAACCGGCGCTCAATTTATTCGCACGCGTATTTAAGACTAAGAGAAACGAAAAAGAGAACGTGAAGATAACCTTTTGGCTCAGCGGATGAGGCCCTATATGTGTGTATATTTTATCTACTCGTGAGGAGCGGATATAACGCGCGCGACAATATTTCTGACAATATTCCTGACAAGTGTGACGTCTTTGTGAAAGTATGTACATTTACCGTACATATATATATATGTATATATTTATCTCTCTCTCTCTCTCTCTCTCTCTCTCTCTCTCTCTCTCTCTCTCTCTCTCTCTCTCTCTCTCTCTCTCTTTCTCTCTCTCTCTCCCTCTCTCTCGTATACATCACACTGACGTGATGTTGAATTTATCTCTCGCTTATCTCTGCATAGTGGCGATAAATGCTCTTGATTAACCTTTTTATCGTCCCTGATTGTTTATCAACGCCTGAAATATCATTCTATAATGAAATAAAGTTTGAAATATGACGGATACGCATTGGAATCGCGTGAGCGATTAACGTTGATAGGTATTTAATAGGAAGACGCGCTATTTTGTTTGTATTATGCGGCGAACGATTGCAAGTCCGCGCTGTAAAACACGGAATATTACGGAAAAGCGTATGTGAATTTTTTTCCGAGTAGTGGTAGCTTTTTTGAAATCCACGCGCACGCACGCACGATTGAAATCCATAATCTACCGGAAGCGCGACGGTTATATAATGAAACTATTGTCTCTCTGTGGATAACGTACTTTATATTCGTCAAACCATCCGCGCTGTTATTGATAAAAGATATCGAGTGACTCTTTCATGGAATAATGTTCGCTTCTATAACCGCGTACTTTGCGGAATAATTTGCATCATTTGCAATCAGAGGTTCAAAGTGAAAGCCACGATTATTGTTTGTCGTTTAATTTTTCACTTTCTCGGCTTTCTCATTTTTCAGCATGAATCCAAAAGTCCTTTCTACATTAAATACATTCATACTGGATTATTCCGTAGTCGATTGACACTCAACAAGTCCTCCAAACGGGTGATAACGTTAAACGTTATTTGACAACGAAGATTAAGAAAAGAAATAAGATGTATAAGAAGAAAAATGAGATGTGAGACTTCACCTGTGTGTGTTGACTTTTTGTATGATGTCGACAATGTCACCGATGACACACGATTCTACGAAGCCGAGCACCTACGTGGGCACCTGTAAAGAATCACAATAACTCACTGTCACGAAACTTTTTTATAAAAATTTTTTCTTGTTATGATTTACTGTGTCGTTTAACTCCTCGAAACCGCGAGACGATGTGAACGAGAGTCGAACTTGATGTCAGAGTGACTAAGACACATCCATGTGTCACGTACGCTCTACAGAGGTAACTGCATATAGGTCATTATCAATAATTAATTTGACCGAATTATTTGCTTGACGCGCAAGAAACGCCGTTTCTCAAAGATTTCTTCCTGACACGCGATTAAGAATGCAATTTGCTCATTTATTTGCAATGATTTATCGTGACGCGACGCAACGCACCTTTATAACCTATTACACAATCTCTATGTACAATTACTATGTATAATTATCGTCCGATATTAAAGACGGATGACGTAAATAAAAGAAAATACTATTATCTCCGATTATCTCTTTAACGATCAGTATTATTTTATGTAACAATTACTCACGGCATAATATTGAATGTGAAATCAAATTCTACTGGTTTGTCATGAAAATATGCAAATATATTATCAGAGAAATAGTACGATTACTACCAGGCTGCTTTAATTCAAACGAGACGGCACACGGTAATATCAAACGGGTCTACACTGATTGAGTGCAAACCGTCCGCTACGTCCGCGAATTCAACTTTGATAATTCGACTTGTGGCAATGGAGGAACACTCACTCGTTAGGCACTGACGCTCGGTGACATGCGGCTTAATGCGCTATCAGTGAATTGGCGTCGTTGAACACTCATCGTCTGTGGAATGCAAACAGTTGTGCCAACGTTAATGTTATCAGTTGCCAGCATGAAAAATTGTTGCCACTAACTGTAGAGAGCGAAGGGGAAGCGGGAAGTTTGAATTCAGAGCGAGCGTGTACAACATAGCGTGCGTTCACGTAATCGGTGATTGAGAGATCGTAATTTGTGCGAGCCGCATGACATTGAGTCGTTCTATTGATGAACGACTTCTATTGAAAATGACGACTTGTATTTCTCAAATTTCCGTGCCAAGTCCAGACGTCCAGACGTCCAAAGTGCCAACTTTGGTCGTGCGGTCATACGAACGTAAATTAATAATGAACTGAATCGACATGTCTATATTATTAAGTTTTTTATTTCTCAAAAAGTCGCAATTCCTCCTGATTTATACCTGTATACATTTATCGTTTATTATCGCCGTAAAGTATACGGGATGTTAATCAACGGTATATATCTGTTGACATGGCAGAATCAAAAGTGTCATAACGACGTATCGGTTCGTACAATTACGAAATATTGGTGGTAAGGATACAAAGTGCCAACTTTGGTCGTGCGGTCATACGAACGTAAATTAATAATGAACTGAATCGACATGTCTGTATTATTAATCGTGACGATCCTTGAGTCTAATCTATCAATTATTTTTAACGAGGATCTCTCAATCCTCATACACGCCGGCTTGAAAGTCCCGATCGTTATCATTCTGTATATTAGATGGCACGGAAGTTGTGGTAGAAATCCTCGTCACCATCCTTCCGAATTGATTCGCGATTCCCATAATCTTTTTCACAGACGTCGCACTTCCGTTCGTCGTGTCGGCCTCTATCGCTCTGTACATGGCGCGTGCGAATTTTGGATGCTGTATTAGGAAATATATGATCCCTACGATCACACCGATGATAACGAGTATCACTGTTCCGACGATGCAGTAAGTCACGTAGGTCCCTGAAAAATAATAAAATATACTGAGACAGTTTATCGTTAACCCTTGAAAGCTATCGTCAAAGAAAATCATGTTAACGCTGTCATGAAATTTCATCCCGATATATGTATTTTTTTTATTTTAGAAATGAAAAACGTCAAACGAATGCAATTGAATGTTTTATTATTACTAAAGATGGAAAATGGAGAAGCTATTGTTTGCGGCGGATAACCTAACATTTAATATAAGAAAAAAAACGAAATTCGCACGGAGTAAAACTTCACTCATGTCTTTAAGGGTTAATCATCTTTTTTCTCTTTCTTCTCTCTCTCTCTCTCTCTCTCTCTCTCTCTCTTATCGTACGAACTTTTTTTTTTTTTCAATATTTCAATCGAAACAAATGTCAAGAAGAAACGTCAGTCACACGTCAATGTCGAACACTCTCGCGAATATATTCCATAAATATCCGAGTATCTCGCAATATCCGCTTTTCACACGGTACTTGTTAATATCGCAGTCGTTCGTCGCCGTACGAGAAGATGTAACGTTGCTCGATTAACTCCGAGAGCTGCCGATTTTGACCGAGACGAGTATCTTTCGAGTCGCGGTTGTTGGATCTTCCGAGTTTCAACGTAAGATGTACCTTCCTCTCCTACATCGTTGCCTTCGTTATTTTCGGCGATACCACCGCGGCCGGTGGTGTCGTTCAAGGTCAGATTGTAAGACGGGCCGTAAGCTGCTTCGGTCGCGTAAGAGTTACCGGAAGACGGCTCGTAAGCCGGCAAATAAACGAAATCATCAATGGGTGCTTGTTGTTTCGGTAGAAATGGCTCCGAGCTCCCTTCGCCGTGCGCCTCCTTGCGCGTTACTATGCTCGGGTACGCTCTTCCTGCCGATAACGAAGTCATTTCTGTAAACGACAAGCCCACTATTACCCGACACTTTCAACACTTCGGAGAGAACACGAATATACGTACGACGTGAGAAGATAGCGCGATAATATTTCTACGAATTCGCATTTGCATGCGGAACATCTAGGAATAGATACGATATATTCTACCAGACTCTCTCTCGTCCACTGCACGGCATAACTTCCGTTCGTCCAATCGCCTTGCTTAACGTAAAGTACTACACGCGCGCGTTAACGGGCAAAAGAGAAATTTACGGGGAGCGAAGAATCAAGGAGACACGAGGTTGCCTCGCTGTCTAGAGGGGATTTCTTCTTTCCCTGCGTCAAATCACCAACTCGATCGACTCGCGCTCTCTCTTTCTCTCTCTCTCTCTCTCTCTCTCTCTCTCTCTCTCTCTCTCTCTCTCTCTCTCTCGTGTAAAACGTCGCGATGTCGTCGATGCCGCGGAGAAGAGTCTCGCGTCGCGCCACGTTCGTATTCTATCGAACTTTCGTCGACTTTCGGCTTTAAAGCTCGCTCATAGACGCCGTGATTCTCCACGAGAGAAAGAGAGGGAGAATGCAGTTTTTATGGATTACTCGAGGCTCGAGTGGCGTGTGTCAGTGCTTCTCAATCGGTGCGGCAATAGCGCGGCCGTAACGTGTCCGCTTAGATGGAGGAGCTCGCGTGTGCGAAACGCGCGCGGCGCGTGAGGAGTGAAAAGCGGCCAGGAGGACAGCAGGAAGGGAGAGGAGGTCGCGAAAGAGGAAAAATAGGTCGATGCCCAAGGTTTAATCAATGGTTTCGGCGCCAAGCGGGCGTCGAGGCGCGCGTCGCTAAAAAAATGCATGAACTGTTCATATGACGATGGAAATTCGGATTGTGTCGTACGCTTCTCTCTCTCTCTCTCTCTCTCTCTCTCTCTTTCTCTCCCTTCCTCCCTCTCCCTCTCTCGATTTCTCCCCGATGCGCCCGCGACCAAGCTGCACCTCGACTCCTCCCTCCGTCGGCCTGACGCGCGCTCACGTTTTATCGTTCGTCTCTACTTTTTTTGCGTTTTGTTTTCTTCTGTCGAATGACGTCGTTGCCGCGCGCACCGCTCCGGGAGTCAACCTGGCGCCGAATGTGACACTCGTCGCTGTGCCTCGTCGACGCTCGATGCGCGACGGAAAAAAGTTACGCATGTGACGTTGGTCGTGTCATCGACCGAATCAAACTTCCGCCTACAGGACGGTGGCGGATGTGCGCGGAAAAAGCTGCACGTGCACTGCATTTGATCGTTCTTTTTTCTCTCTCTCTCTCTCTCTCTCTCTCTCTCTCTCTCTCTCTCTCTCTCTCTCTGTTTTGTTTTGTTTTGTTTTGAGGGAAGAATCGACGATGAGCGTAGGAATTGCGTTGCCCGCGGATGTTGCCGCGACTTGATTTGACAAACAAATCGGTTGTATTCGGGATAGATGACGTTCTCAAATCCGTGCATTCTCGAATGTATCCTCGGAATGTATTCTCGGATGTATCCTAAACGTTTCAGACTCTACGTTGCGCCTCTTGGCGCAACTCGAGCCACAAGTATTCTACTGTGAAGCGCGACTTTCTCTCATTAATGACGGTAAGAAAGAAGCGGTAATTAATTAAACGTACGAAAAAGCAGGAAGGAATCTTTCAGTGAGCGAGAGAGAGAGAGAGAGAGAGGGGGGGGGAATTATTTGACATCGACCCGTTTGAAAAAAATAATATCGCCGACGAAAAGCCTTCCTGCCGGCCAAACTGTTACTATTGTTCGCGCGTCAAACACGTACAAGTCGACGCGTCGCGCATTCTTACAGCAGCATCAGCCGTGGTAATGGAATATGGGCCATTATTTGCAGTCGACAGTCATGAACCGCTCGATGAGGCACAAAAGTGATCACCCATCTTTATTCATAGGACGAGCCGGAACGTAATAATCGTCAATGTCGGCTTTTCTTACTTTTAGTGTTGCGTCATGCGATTGGGAAAAATAATTTCGCGGAAAAAGCAAAGCTGCTTTACGCGCGCGCGAGAATACCGAGGGCGCGCGGTGAAATTTACGCGGATGCATTCGCGCGGGTAAAAGTCCCATTCGTTCCTGCGCGTCGAGATGTAAAACTCGAAGATAAAAGTGAGACGCCATTTGTATCCCGAACTCTCGGGGGAATCGAGCGTCGAGGACGCTGAATTCACGTGAATTCGCGCGATTAACGCAACGCCTCATCTGTCGCGGGAGATTCCGTTGATTAGCCCGGCTAAGTGACGTCTGCAGCGTAAGGAGGTCCATTTCCGTTCCCATTCGTCGGCGAAACAGCTGCGAACGCGGGTGTCGCATAAAAATGAAGAAATTATACCGGTCGGCGGGACGCGCGCTGGCTCATACATTCATCGTTAATAATCGCAGAGAATTGAACATTCAACGACGCGACAACGTCATATCATTAATGGCTCACGCGTTGCACGCCGACTTCTACTGACTGTTTGCAAATCGGAAAGTCACGCACAAACGATAATTTTCTTCCGTAACTAGTCTCGGTTGCCCTACTTACGTGTCGCTTAAGATCTCGAGCGATACGATCCCCCTCTTTACGATATCCCGCGCGGATAACGTTTATAGCTTCTCTCGCGGCCGCGGACGCCGCGCAACGCGCTGGTAATAGACGAGATGTCAGAGGTCATGCTTCCGCGTCAGACACCGGCCATCTAACGTGTAGCGCCGGGAAATGTGCTCAGACGGGCTCTGTCGAACGGCGAAGCGGAGAATTCGCGCCACGTAATTTCCGGGCGCGAAGGTGCTTTCTGGCCGGCGACGCAGGCAAAACGGCAATCCGCGTGGCGTCCACGGGGTAATTCGCTACAGCCGCGTATCGCGTGCGAGGGTCGTCGAGCGTAATACCGAGCGTAATACTGCGCGTAGTAAGATCAATGACAAATTTGCCGAACGCGCGGGAAGACGCGAGAGAACAAAGCGCGAGGGAGAAAACTGACGGAGAAACGCGGCGCGGCCGCGACGAAGCGTCGCGGGATGGACGCGAGTCGAGTATAAAATAGACGATAATAATCGACCTCAAGTAGCGTGCGTTTTAAATTGAATCGCGGAGCTGGCGGTTCGCGGGTTCAAGAACACCGCAGTCGCTCGGTAATCGAATTCATTTGGTAGAATGCACGGCGATCGCGCGACGGCCGTTCTCGCTGATTCTCGCTGTTGCGAGACGAACGGGGCTCTCGACGAAAACCTTTCGTTTCTTTTCTTTTTTATTTGCTTAATATCACTGGGAGGCCGTTTTTTCATGGAGATGGACGGGCTCGCGTGTCAACAGCCACGATCGCGCGTTGCTTCGCTCGCTCGATCCGTGCGATTCGTTATTTAAATCATAATTTCGCAACGCGTCTTTACGTCCACACGCGCGCTGCGAAACATATGCAAATTCGCGCGACACGCTTGGGCGTGTGCACAGGCAAAGTCCTCAGCTCAGTTTTTTTCGCATTTACCTCGGCGCGATGTTTGCGCGCGCGCGCGCGCCGAGTGCTGTCAACCTGGCGATTTCTATTAGTCGTTATGTGCGCGCGCGGTTCACTCGCTCGCACGTAAGAAATTCAAATAGCAGCTGGGCCGGATTCGGGAATGCGCAGAATATACACGAGTAGATGTCATAACCGAATCGTCCGGCGAAAACACGCTTCACATTGACCCAAGCGACCTGAGCGTATTCGAACGACATCGGTGACACGCAGCGCGTTCTCAATCCCACTTCTCCAGCGGAAACTCCACACATGCGATTAGTATGGAAATTCATGCTCACAACCACAGCCGCGCGTATTTAGCACTGTGAAACTTCCAAAATAACCCAGCTCGGTGTCGCGCACGACGACGTTCGAAGTTCGCCGCTAGCTCTCGCCGCCGACGGCGCTTGCATCCGCAAGGCGAAGCCTTCAGAATCAGAAAGAAGAAGAAGAAGAATAGAAAGAACCGCACATTAACCGCGCGTCATCGACACCGATTTGTACGCTACGTTATTCGCTATCTCTCGTCGATACGGTATCATGTGCCACGAAGAGTACCGGCGCGACCGGTGAAAGGCTAGTATGAACAATACTGGCCGTCAGTCCGGCCGAGCAAACAAAATGCACGCGATCGTCGCGCATGTGTCGGTGCTTCGTCAAGGTCTCGCGGACATATTGCATGTGCGCACGCATCTTTGCGTAGTGCGCAAAGATTAACGGCTCCGCGGAACTAGGAGCGAGTGACGTAACTGTGCGTCGATTTAAAACCCAGTGGCCGGGACTGAACGGCGCATGCTGATCGAGAGTGATTTAACGGCGAAACTTTCACGAGTCACACAGTCGGCAGCTGATCGAGCCGACCCTCATCGCTTTTCTTCTTCATCGCATTCCGAGACGGCTGCGGCGGTCACGTGTTGTAAAATTCTGCGCAGATACACGTAATAGCGCGCATCGTTATTAGCTGGTCGTCGTGAGCAAGCGAAGTAGAGTTAACAGCGACATTTCCCTTCCAGGTGAGTCAAGTGATGTTGCACCGGACAACATTGTCGTCTCGATCCTTTTCCGCAATGTGAACGTGTGGAGCAATGTGACACGGGCCGTTAGAAATTAATCTCTCGATTGCGAACCAAGAGTTCCGCGGCTCAAAGTATCATCGCGTTCTTTACCCTGAAGATAATCTCTCAGCAACGTTCTTAATTCCATAAGATTTCTCCGTTCCGGATCGTGAAAGGAATTTATGTTCTTCTCTCGAAACGCCTCGAGTAGCGCGCACAATATGATAGAGAGAGAGAGAGAGAGAGAGACCACACAGATAAAATAATTAATATCTCCTGGAGGTTACATCATTTACATTACATCGTTAGTGTGTACTTGTTCTCTCCTCATTCATATGTATGACGCGCTAATACATATACGAATGTCATTTGCTATTTTTTTTTGCACGATTAGATAGATTTCGAAACGAAGGAGTTGTTATATATTATATAAGATGTTTTCCAATCGGCAGGTTACGACATATATACACGTAAGCGGAAGATACATAAATTCATGAAATATCGCGATGATAAAACGTCGATATTAATGGCATTCATTCGCATTTTAATATATCACATTGAGTTCATTATATTAATTAATAGCGCGATCGGTTTGCACGCTGTTTTACGTAGCTCGAAACGGTCACAACGATAATCTGCTTACGTGTTGTTTTATATACACGAGCACATATGTACTAATGTAAAAATGCTCGGAAATTATATAGAGAGAACGATTATCGCCGCGTGCAGCAAACATTTCGTGCAAATGAAGGGGGGAGTTCCTTCCGCGAGAGAGGAATTGTTTATTTACTGCATCAAAAATTGGAGAGCCGACGGTACGATGTTATTACGATGCGAAAAAGAACGATTTAAAGGTCAAAGCTTAACGTCAATCGGAACTTGTAATTTTTTTTTCTTAAATCTCCCACTGCTGGAATTGCAAGATTGCGCGCAATTTAATGTCCATGGATGTATTGATGTATACCATCGCGAAATGTTTCTGAAAGGAGAAGAAAGTAGATATTAATAAAATATGCACGTATAAAATAAAAAAAAAAAGAATTCATATTCATATCGTGTTATTTATTCATATGATATATAATTCATATCATAAATATGTTGACGACATAATTATCCACTAAATTAAATATAGCACTCAGAAAAGCATCTCTCTCATCCGTTTACTATCTCAATCAATAATTAGCCAATCCGCGCTCTCGTTTCTCGCATTACGTACATTCTCGTTTCTTAACACTCCGTTGTTCTAATTATAGCGCGAGTCATGTTTTATTTTGTTCGACTCGTGGCAGTTTTATCTCAGATCAGCGACAATTTTTTAAATATATAATCTTATATTAATTTTAAATATATAATCATCGAAATGACTTGAAGAACTAGGAGAAATCGTTCGAATTAAGCTAAATTGTATCTTACCACTTTTCAATCCTCTCCATCGTCGAATGAAAAATACATGAAATGTCATTTTTGATTTCGCAACTGATACCCCGTCAATGGTGTCATGAAGTTCCAGCCTGGAGAAATCTTTGTTCCCTCGCGAGCTTTTCGTGCGCACGTGCGCGTTCTCTCTTTCTCTCTCTCTCTCTCTCTCTCTCTCTTGCGCGCGCGCGAGCGCGAGCGCGCACACGCGTTTCTCCACACGCCGGGTTCGCACACAATTTTCGGCCGCAATATTTTTGGGATAAAATGCGCGCTACCGGTGGTGTCGGCGTTTCCTGACGTTATCCAGGAACAAATGGACTTTTAAATTGCAGCCGCCGCGGACCCTACCTGTAGTCGGCGCGCGGTCGTCGCAACGGCCGCCGATAACGGATGCAGCGGCGCGTCCGTGTTGGCCCGCGACAAATTCGTGCCATTATATCTCCGTGTTTAACTTCGACGCGCGCGTCCCGCGCGCCCCGTGCTTTGTTCTCGCCGTAATTACGGCGCCGCGACGCTTAATTTACGTCGAAAGCTACGGGCAACGGGCACGTTCGTACTCCGAGGCAACCGCCACGATTGATCCTCTGGTAGTACCTGCGAATTTGTCGGTTAATCAGCGCGCGATTGCACACACCCGCCGGACCGGCTAGGCGGGAGATCTTCGAAGAACGACCGTTCGGGATTGAATGTTTCTTTTTTTTTCTCTCCCGCCAGAACCACTCAGCTTGTCACAGTGGCTTTGTGTTATTTTGCACAATTTCCGGCAGAAATATAGAAATGCGTTTGCGAAGGCTTAAAATGTATCGTGGAAAAAGTGAATTGGTTTTTTTTTTTAAATTGCCTCAACTCTGCGTCACCTTCTCGTTATCTAAATAACGAATAAATTATTTAAATTTAAAGGTAAGAGAGTCTTCTTATTTTTCTCGAAATAAGCGGTTATGTGATAAAAAATTATAGGTGTCTGATGTAACTTTTTTATGAAAACAAGTTAGAAAATATATAATTATGAATAATAAGGTATTTAATACGGATTGCTTCTCGAAACTGAACACATCTTACATCTTGGATCTCTTTATCTTATTTGCTATATTTGAATCGATATTAATAGCCAAGCTGGTTTTACTCGATTACAAACGTGTTCTTTGCTCGGAGAAAAAACGAAACTTTAAATAGTAAGTGATTATATTTAAAGATTGATATTGTTGTGTCCGAGCCACAAGGTTAGTGGCGGCGTCCGTTGTCCGTGAGCCTTAGGCATCTGATGCTGATTTTGACAACTGAACGAAGATGGTCTGGACGACGGAAAATCGATAAGAAGAAAACAACAACAGCTGACAGAGAGCCTCCGGCAAGCTGTCATCGCGACAGCTTGACAGCTGCGAGACAGACGCGAGAATAGATCAGAGAATTATTCTTGTTTAAAGTTTGAGTGAGCTGCGCTATATATAGTAAAGCTTGTTATTCTTACGTGAGTGTTTTCATTTATCTGAGTGCAAGCGCGAGTGCGAGAGTGAGCGCAACAATATTATATAAATAATGATGATGCAGTTTCCATCTCAACACTCTTATCTTGTAAAAATCAATATAATCAATTAAAATCAATATAATCAATATAATCAATTAAAAAAATATAATCAATATAATCAATTAAAAAAAAATCTGTTTTACCCTTGAATTCGCTGCAAATACGCTGATTCATCAGTTAGAAAACTCTAAAGCTACAACGAACAATAATCGTCGTCGACGACGACGACGACGGAGTTTCGAAGAAGTTTCGTCGCCTTGAAAACGCCGCCCGACAAATTCGTCTCGCGACCGCGTTTTCGTATTTACTTCGCGTGTCGCTTTGTCCTCGCGTAATTACGTTCCGCGGGAGCTTAACGCCCGACAATTACTCGGCGGTCGTCGTTAATTTCCCTGGAAATAAAAGGCGACGACCACTACGGCGCCTCCGCCGCCGCCACCGCCACCGCCGCCGCCGCCGCCGCCGCCGCCGCCACCGTGAAGCGCAATACCTGGTAGCAGCCGAGCGGCGATACCAATCTTACGATTTTCACCGGGCACAAAGACGATCCCTTTTCGCCGTGGTTGTAACGGCTCGCTGGAACAAGGACGGTTGTCTGTGTCGTGGTCCTACCACTACACGAAGAGACCACTGCAAGAAGAGAGAGTCAACCCCCGCGGCTGATTATTTTCCGGGCGCTCAAGTCGTGTCGAAGTTAGCGAGCGCCGCGGAATTACCTGCTTTTATCGCAGGACAGTTCATCCACTCTTAAGCCAAATCTAATCTACCCGTGCAGTCCGGAACGTCGAGGGCTTGTGTACCTGGAGCAGCCGCAACTTCGCGAAATTGCTACAGAGTATGCGAGTGCAGGCTTTCGTTCTCGCCCCTTTGTGGCTAAACAGCCGTTCGTTCGTTCGTTCGTTCGTTCGTTCGTTCGTTCGTTCGTTCGTTCGTTCGTTCGTTCGTCCGCTCGTTCATTTTGCGACGGTCGTTAGCGCTTCACCCGCAGCCGCCCCGCTGCAAAGTTGTTAGCCAAAGAATGGGAATCGATGATGAGGGATTTCGGTACAAAGCCGCAACGGTCGGGACCGTTGTAACTCACTTGTAAGTTACAATGTCCCTCTATGTGTCCCCCTCTCGCTCTCTCCTTCTCTCTTCTTGCCTCTCTTTCTCTCTTTCGCTCTTCTTTCATTCGGGGAGAGAGAGAGAGAGAGAGAGAGAGAGAGAGAGAGAGAGAGAGAGAGAAAGAGAGAGAGAGAGAGACAGATTCGTTCGCGGACTCGCGATTTCATTCGCTATGTATTTAATGAAGCGGAAACTCCAACGGCCGATAAACAACAAATAATTATTCCTCACTCCCCTCAACTCAAACTCGCGCCGCGAGGAAAAACCGCGGACTTGGGCTCACCGATCCTCCTCGCTCGCGCTCGCGCTCGCATCCTCGCGTATGTCGTCGACGTTTTTAATTACGCGCGCCCAACCAAACGATGAATTCGCCCATATAGCTCCTTACTACCGGCCGCTCTCGTCATCGTTTCCGGTTTACGACCGGCTCGAATATGGTGTCGATCGCGTATGCGCGCGTGCGAGCGCCGGACACGGCGCGGCGTCAAACCTGAACAGGCACGTCCCGTGCGTGCGCGTACGACACGCGGCGCCCATACGCGTCGTCGAGGGCGTTTATACGTGCAGGGCGCGTAGCGAAAGAAGAGAGAGAGGAGGCGACACGAATGTGCCGTGAGAGCAGTTTCACGTAGGCGAGGCAGTCGTAGCGTGCGCGAGCGCGAGCACGCTGCCGGTAGTAACCCACTTTATGACCGACGTTCCTGGAAAGTGCGTTTCCCTCCCCCTCCCTCCCCCCCTCCTCTTCCCCCGTCTCCAGCCCCGCGCTGCACCGCGTGCGCTATCCCCCCACGCAGTTGCAGTAAAGGCGAGGGAGATCGCCTCGGAGGCCACCTTCCGTGAGATTAAGGGTTGCCTTCATGATCATAATTTTAACGACACTCCGCATGATAAAGCGTCCGCGGTATACGCG